ATAGGATTAATATATATATATATATATATAAGTTAATAATTTTATGCAATTTAATGGAGTAATGAAGATGAGAGGTTTAGTGGCATGAGTTACTGAAGGTGAGAGATAATGGAATAATTAATGAGGAAAAATTATTAAAAGAGTTAATGGGAGAGAGAGAGAGGGTTAATGGTGTTTTAATGGGTTGTGTTAAAAGATTTAAAGGTGATTAGTTATTTGAGTTATTTTTTTCAATTTTAAAATTAGATAATTAAAAAAAAAACAGAAAAAAGATAAATCGCCTTGAGAATAAACCATAAAGCAGGAAAGGTGCCGGCTTGGCACATTGCATTTTAAGCATATATATAGAGATTTCTGTAACTCAATTACTGAGCTTGGGTACAGATATCAAGGTACATCATCTAGGGCAAATAGGCTTAACAAGGGGACCAAGGTTAGGGCCCATCTAGATATTTTGCACCATGCTGCCTGCGTTGGTTTCTAGTCGCTATGTGACAAGTTGGATGCCTAGAAAGAAAAAAGATTAATAGCTTGTTGCAAAATCGGGTATATGTAAGTTAACATTCTAACAGTGTAACTATAATCTATGTTTTTATTCAGGTTTTCAGCTGTCCCACTCACAATCCCTTGCAATATATTTCCTTGCCTTGATGTTGACATAGATTATCTTTTTAATTTGCAGTTCACTATAATAGGATTTGGTGCAATGTTAAGTGATTGGGCTTACATTGAATCTATATAATTTTAATGACATTTTATCTTAAGAACTTAGATAATTTGGTCATCTACACCACAGTTGAAGTGATGAAACTGCAAACTGGAGACGTACACACAGTAGTAGACAAGATCTCAGGTAAAGATTTGAACAGATGTAATCATTCTGCATAATTCTTTCATCTACACCGGAGTTGAAGAAAAGAAAAGGGTAACTGGAGACATACAAACTGGAGTTGACAAGATCTCAGGTATAGATTAGGATATGTGTGAAAGGATTTTCTTTGCTTTTACTCCTTGTAGAGGTGCCTTGCTGACACCCATTTTTCTCTGGTTTTGTAGCCAAACAAGGAATGACCCATTAGGGGCGGTTGCCTATTCAGAACAGTCCTGTAATGACAACTAAATACTTGCTTCAAAGGTAATTTTATTTGGTGACTGCTTGGTTGCTGTATTTTCTTTTAAACATGTAATATTTTGTTATTTTTGGGTAATTCAGGTTGTAGAGGGAAATGATGTCAGAATCATGGTTTTCAATTTTAGTGTTCTCTGGATTTTTTCTTGCCTCTTCATCTGATAGAAGTAGGATAAAATTGCGGTGTAGCTTTTGTTCTCTTCTCATTTTTCACCCTTTTAAAATCTCTACAGTATCTATCTTTTCTGTGCCAAAAGTCCACCCTGATTTTATCTCCTGTAGGTGTAGGTATCCATAATAATGGATATGGCCCTCAATAGAGCGGAATTGTGAGGAGGATTCACCTGGGCAACACCAATTAGTTGAATAAGGCGTTGTTGAGTTTGAGTTTGGTCGAGTATCTATAAGAATGGATCCTCCAGAAACAGATTTGRAACCTAGTAATAAGAAGCTAGAAGTGGTAAAAGAAGATGGACCCTCCTTCCCTTGTGATCTTTATGATTCAGAAGTAGTGCATAAAATAGCACAAATCCTCCTACCAGGATTGGCCACAGCTTGTGTTGACAACACAACAGGTGATATCTTCAGGGGTCCTGCCTTTGTGGCTGTTGATATGAGAAAGGAAATGGTTGACTATCTTACCCAGAGAAGTGAAACATTTATTGCAGAAGCTGTGATCCAAAATGGTGAGACAGATATGGAAGCTTCTGAACATCCTACAGACATTATTTCGGATTTCATAGAGGATTTTGCGAGTTCAAAAAGGAACTTGTTAGGTCGTGTTTCAAGTTGGCTATTGAGTGAAAGGAGGGAAGACAAGATAGATGACTTTGTGCAAGAGATGGAATTGAATGGGTTTTGGTTGTTGGATAGAAGGCAAGCCATTGCACAGACCCTGCTCAAGAATGTTGACTTCAAGAACACATACCACTGTAATATGAAATTTGTTACTGCTGAAGAGCTTGCTGAGCATACTGGTCAGTGCATTTTTAGGTGTATGGACTGCACTAGTGAGGGTTGTGATGCTAGCTTTTGTGCAGTGCACTTGGAAAAGCATGAATCAGTCTGTCCCTTCAAAATCCTTCCGTGTGAGCAGAAGTGTCACGAGTACCTTGCGAGGCGTGAGATGGATAGGCATTGCATAACTGTTTGCCCAATGAAACTTGTTAACTGCCCTTTCTACATAGTGGGTTGTCAATCAACAATTCCTCGCTGTACAATTGAACAACACCGTCTAGAGTTTCTCGTTTCTCACATGAAGTGTATTCTCCAACGTATTCACAAGGAAGCATCTGAGGAGGATCTGAAGCATCGGGCACAACTTATGGGAAAGGTGGGTCTTTCTTTCTTACTTTCTACTTTTCTTGTTACTGGTTTCTATTTTCATTTGTACTTTCCCCTTGAGTTGGTAAGCCGATGGTTAGCTATGATTTCTTTTTCACTTTGTTTTCTGGAATTGGAAATTTCATTCCTAAATTAAGTTGTGTGCTTAACAGTTCCTTGGACCAGCTGCTAGTTGATCAGATAATTTACATCCTGAATTCTCACTAACCAGTCAAATTCTTCTCCTCTTCTCCTTTTTATTTTTTAGTTGTTTTCTTACCCTTTAGGTTAGATATACTTTATTTCCTCGTTAATAGTTTGATCACACTCTAATGACTATATGCCATGGATTAAGAAGTAGATATATGTTTTAATATTTCCACAGAATATCTTCATTTCCATGTACAAAAATACTACCCAAATAATTCATTCTAATAGTGAAATATTTTTGGCTACCACTATAAATGACCCTTTCTTCCATATAGTGAAATATTTTTAAGTAAATATACTTAATGAAATAGTATTAATGTTTTAATACATTTGAGTTCTTGTAAAAGATTAAACAATATAGGCCCTGTTTGGTTCGTAGGAATAGGGGTCTGGAATTGGAATTGGAATGGGCTATTCTGATTCCAACTGTTTGGTTGGGCGGAGTCGGAATTAAGGCTGCAACTTGAGACGGCTTGGCCCGAACCCAACCCAAAAAAGTCGAGTTGGGTTGGGTCAAGTTGATGCTCGGGTTAGGGTTAGGGTTGAAATTCATGAACCCAACTTTATTTCGGGTTGGGTTAGGGTTATCCCCTTGGGCAACCCGAACCTGACTCTATAGTATATGTCATATATAAATATATGCTATATATATTATTTATCATACTTTGATTTTTTTAGAAGTAGGATAGTTGTATAGCCCTCACTACATACTATCATGTCCTTCTTTTTAGATAATCACTTCACTTAATCTTAAATGAAATGACTAAAACCTTAATAACAAATTTTATGTTTTTTAATATTTTATTCTTCATCTCCTCTCTAGTGTTTGGCGCCTATAAAAGATCTATCATAAGTCATCTCATAGTAAACTATAGTCATTTCAAATACATATTTTTCTGATTTTGTACTAAAAGAACCAATAAAAACATCAACAAACAAATATTAATAAAGCATAGGATTAATATATATATATATATATATATAGTGAAAAGTGAGTTAAGATTTGAGATTAAATAGTTTTATGAGATTTTAAGGGATGGGAAGAAATTTGGATTGGGCCTAACCTGAGACCAGCCCAACCTAAAGTGGGCTGGGTTGCGGTTAGGGTTAAAGGAATTTAGTTAGGGTTAGGGTTAGGTTTGGGTAGATCGGGTTGAAGGTCGGGTTTCGTTAGGGTTAGGCTTGGGGTTTAGAACTTAGGGTTGAGTTAGGGTTGGCCTCAACTCGACCTAACCCGGCCCGACTTGTAGCCCTAATCAGTATCCCATTCCCATTCTTGTTGGAATGGCATTCCCCCATTTAAGGGAATGGCCATTCCCTGCCCCTCCATTGGGAATGCAATCTCATTCCTACTGATTTTAATTCTCATTCCCATTCTTGTCTGATCCAAACAGATTATGGGAATGAACCACTCAGATTCCAATTCTGATTTCAACTGTGAACGAAACGAACCCTTAATAGCTTTAGAAGTATATTTATATATAAATAAAACATAATAGGAAAATACTTGAGTGTTGGGCCTTGATGAGCCAACATTTTGGTCACTCTTAGCCCAATTCTAGCTGCTTAAGGCCCGTCATTTAGGCTGTTATTGTCGTCAATCTAGCCTCTACAACAGCACAAGGTTGCTCAAAGTTATCATGGGCCCCACAAAGATCTTTAGAAAATTTCAATGTCTTTGAAGATTTTCTTAGATTTGATAAATAATCTTTATGATATTTATGAAAGTCTTTGTTGTTCTATGCTATAAGGCTTTTATTGTAATTTGAATTTTGAAATGCTTTTACAATTAGAATGTGGGGAAATATGAATTAGATTTTCTTTTATGCTCTTTATATATGTTACAATAGCTTTCATTAGATAATGAATGGATGAAGAATCTCCTCTCTTTAAAATTTCATTTTTATGGTGTGTGATATTGTACTTCTAATGGTAAGGTGTCATTGAGCTTCTTGTCCAAGACTAGCGGTGGCAATTGGGCGGGTTGGGTTGAGCTTCAATCCAAACGTTCTAATCCGCTAACCCATTAATGACCCAGTTATACAAAATTAAATGTGTTGAGTTCAACCCAAACCCACCTTGACCCAATCCAACCCGCCCAAACCCATTAATCTTATATTTATTTACTTAAACAAAAAATTAACTCCCACTTAACAAATAAGTTGGCATAGCTTGGTGGTAATAGTAGTTGTTATTTACACAAGTGTTGAAGGTTCAAATCACATTATATGCATATTATTTTTATACAAGTGGCAAAGCCATTTGACTATGTTTGGGTTTCATGTTTGATTGAACCACTTGGGTTCAAACCGGTTCGACCAACTTGAACTATCTAATTGGATTGTCTTCGAGCTAATCACATCAATAGTGGTTGAACCGTTTAAATTTGGATCAGTCTGGTTGGACTAGACCAGACCGGTTCAATCAATGGCAGATTGTCTCAAACTGGCCCATATTGGGTTGTGCACGAGCTTGGGACTGAACCGATTGGTCCAAAGTGGGTCAAGGGAAGCAAATCACATCGATGAAAATTTGGGTCGGGTTGTATGGATACAGGTTGGCCCAAAAGCAGTTGAGTTGACTTTCGGGTCAGATCAGACCATGCCTGGCCATTCAGAACCGTTCCAGGTTCGAGTCGGCCCAAATCTGGATTGGGTTGGATTCAAACTGGGATAGCCCACCCAACTGAACCGAATCGAGGTGATCAGGCCTGTTCATATTTAGACTGGGTTGAACTGGTCCAGACTCAAGTCAGGTTGATTTGGATTTATGTCAATTTGGGTGAAGTGTGTTGATTCGAGGCAAAACTAATTTTAGTCAATAATTAATATAAAATTAACTCAAATGAAGAAAATGAAAAAAATAGCTAAGAAATTAGTACTTGTATCTTTAGTCGTTAACCCAATGGTTATCCACAACCTACTCCGATCCAACCCATTTAAATTGACCCAATAGGTGATCAACCCATTTCCAATCCACCAAATAAATGGGCGGGTTGGGTGAAAAATTGCCACTCCTATCCAATACTAGTTGGACTTGATCCGTTGCACAAGATATCTTTCCATCCTTTTTCCTTTGTGCCTATTTCATGTTTGCTTTAATTTCCTTCACCGTAATTCTATCTTATCCACAACTTGAAATCTTATTTTTACTCTTAAACCACTATTTTTTGTGCTCATCTTCTTGAAAATTTATCCCTAATACTGTCCCCCTTCGAACCCATAGTTCCTAGTTTGATGTGGTAACTTTCAGTGGGTGCCCTACATGTCATATTAATATTTTCTCATCTTGTTCATTATCAAGTAATAGGTATTTCTCAGACTGTAAAGCTCCTTGGATTGCAAATTTGTTGCCTACATATCTTAGACTTGGACCAACATGCATGTCTTCATTCTCTTGAGCTATTATCCTCTCCTCGTTTGCCTGAACCTCAAATATTCCATCATAATTGTATTGTATTGACTTCTAATCAAGTGAAACTTATTTATCATGATGGCTCCCATGCACGATGGTTCCAATGCCTTCACCCATATTGGTGTTGGTTGAAGCCATTTCATTACACTTTCTTCTTAACTTACCAAATTAAGCTTCCCTGATACATCTAATTTCTTATAAACATTCTAACCTGTTATAGCCTTAAATTCGGTACATCTTATTCACCTGAGCATTAATCTCTTTCATGTATTTCCATCATCCCAAACTATGTTTGCATTTACACATGATAAGTTTGGTGTCTCAGTCATGCATATTATTAATTTCAGTTGAAGTTGAAGGAGGATTTCAAGTGTGCAAACAGTAATTAATAAACCTCGGTTTGGAAGGAGTAAAATACATATATGTAGAGTGCAAATGCATTCAAAATAATACAAAATACAAGGTTTTGCACTCTACATATTTGTATTTGTACTCCTTCCAAACTGAGCTTAAAAGGGGTTGTACAACTGACTTGTATAGTATGATTGTTTGGATGAAAACAATCTTAATAGTTTACTATACATTTTGGGTGATTCATCCAATTAAAATATATTCTTGATCAAGATGTGTAAAAGAATCCTGTAGGTATTCTGTTTCTGCATAACAAAAATGATATTAAGCAAAAATTTTTAATATCTTGTTACAGTTAGATCCTGAACGATTATCAGAAGCTCAGGATGCAAGATCTCTAACTTTCGTAGTCAAGGATCTAGACGCAAAGATGGGACCTGTAGAACATGTCACTGCCAGTAAGGTTGATGAGGAGTCCATGGAGACTGCGAGTAAGGTTGGTGAGGATCCTATGGAGACTGTAAATGAGCCAAAAGATATTCCACAGGAGGTAGAGAGCCAAACTCAGCCCTCTCAAAAAGATGTCAATTCGAGTATCAAAAGAGAAGATGCTGACTCACAAAGGGAATCATGAATCATAGGTTTACCTTCATAAAGGCTGACTAGAGATGCAAATTTCCACTTCTTTACCTTCAATCTTTAATTTGCATCAGGGTACTGTTGGTTTCATTTGGATGAATGAAGATGATGGACTATGTTTTTCCTGTAGATTATAATTTTCTGAATATGTAGGCTGGGCTCCCCACCTATCCATCTTTCACCTGTTTAAATTGATTCTGTTTGTTTTCATCACACAGAGATTGCAATAGTTCTTATTCATTCAAATTAAAATAAATTCTTCTGTGTTTTTTTCTGTGATTTTATATGTGTTGCTGATACTATGAGCTTCCAGCTCAGGCCTGGAGCAAGGATTATTCTTTCTTTCTTTTTTGTTCTTTCTTTTTTTTGGGTTTTCTTTATTTTTTTTTTGGACAAGTATAGAAGAAAATTGAGATGTTTGTGATATAAATAAGTTGTAGGGTGGAGGCTATAGCATTCTTTTCTCAATCGTCTTTCCAGAATTATGTGGTGCGCACATAATTTACTCTGAATGGATGATCCATGTATCAATTATTTTGAAAATAATACACTTTTACTGGCATTCTTAGTTGGGGAGGCAATAATTCAAGCAAAACTGGTGTAAAAAGAGGAGCTCTGAAGGAGGAATCTTTTTTTTTTTTTTTTAATTTCTCCCGTCTTTGTATTTGCCATAGAAGGCTGCTATCAAATTAAACATAGAAAATCCGATCAATGTCCCTGTATTGCATAAAAGATGAGTCATGTTCTTAACATAAAAAAAAAAAAGAAATAGAAAGGATTAATAATTTTAAGGTAATTAATAATTCGTTATCCTCCATGAGAAATATATGGAATTACTAATAATAATCTTAACTGCTACCTTGTTATTCCCTTTTTGTAATTAAATATTAATGAAACGTGCTAAATTGTTTGCAAAATTCACATTCTACATATAAACTCGAGGGGATGTATAGTGCTAGCCATATCTATGATAACTTATACTTCCCATGGGTTTTAGTCAAATAATTAAACCACCCTCGAGCTTTCCTTACCAGTTTTTACCTCCTTTGGCCATGAAACTACAACTCTACAGGGATTTTGTTAACAAAAGAGATGAAATTAAGATGGAAATCTTGTTGGACCAAGTAGCCTATGGCTCTCGATATCATCCTTGACGTGTAGGACTATCCATAGGCCAACCGGAATAACCACACAATCGATGGAGTATTTGTTCTATGTGGACCAACATGCACACACAATCAACACCTCTTTTCAATTATTATTATTATTTATTATTTTCTTATAAAGTAAAATTTGTTTTGACTTATCTCTTTTAAACTTGGTCCATCAGAGCAATTATTAGTTAAGAAACTGTCTCAACAAGCAGGGACAAGTGTCTCATCCCAATTGAGGCTAATCCCAACTGTTTAAAGAGATTTGTGGCCAGTTCCTAAACATTGGAACAAACCCAACAGTCACAAAAGGGTCTATAAATAGAACCCAAAATAGTGGGGAGAATGCTTGAGCTATTGAGAATATATTTCCTTCTCAACACAACACTCTCTCTTAATCTTTCTTATCTTGATTATTATCAATTTTAGTTGTAGTAGAACATTGCCTCCACTTTGAGCTGTTGTAGAAGTTTGGGCCCCATTTTCAAACTTGGCACACGTTCCTGGGATATCACCAACACCACCATCAAAGTCTTTCAGTGGTATCAGAGACAGGTTCAAAGCTCGTTTGGCAATGTGGAGAGAACACATAGAGCAATCAAATTTATAGAAAAGAATTTTTTTCTTCCGTTTTCTCTCAGGTGTGTCCATTCCACTCCCATTTTCTCTCCAAACCAGGTGTGACCTTTCCACTCCCGACCAAATTGGGTTGCTCATGCACTTTGGCCAAACCATCTTAATTGAAATATATATTTACATTATTTGAATTGAAAATTCTCGATGCATTCATGTTTTGTTTAAACATAAAATATCCTTTTAGATTTCATACTTGATTGAGTTGTATGCATCCGATACCTTTAAGTATGTCCTTTTTCTTTGGTTCCGAAAACCATTCATTTTAAGATAAAGCAACTAATCTTTCGTTGGTTGAGATTTGGTTTTGATAAGTTACTAAATAGGTATTTATGAGAGTAATTTTAGTGGCTATTCTGATTTTATCTTTTGTTTTAATAAAATTACACTAAAAGATAAAGCAACATTTAATCTTTTATCCATTTAATTTTTGATTGTTCTTCGGTAACCTCTAAAATGGTTATTGATATTGATGGAGGGTGATTTGGCCCGACTTCATAATAAGGAGACACGTGGACGTGACTCGACATAAGTGATAGTTCATCCTAATAATGAGTTTGGGACAACTCAGCATAACGAAGCTTGCTGACCCAGTCTGACAGCCCGCCCAAAGCGGCAGCTCGCTACAAGTTGATACTTCGTTGCCCAGAGCTAAGACTCCCCAAGTAAGAAGCACCCCGAGCTAAGATTCTCCAAGTAGGGAGAATCCCGAACTAAAAACACCTCGGGTTAAGCTCATCAGCTCCCTAACATAAGCTCACTCCTGTCTAAGGCTACCTCAGGAACCCGCCTCGGAGAAGCACCTCAGCACATCACCAGCAGCTCAGTGTAAGGTAGCTCGCAACAGAGCAGTTCGGCGTAAGGTAGCTGTTGCAGGGCAGTTCAGCGTATCATAGAAGATTTTCTACCTGACAACTGTACCTACCAAACCTGGACACTGCACCCACGTCTCTCGTCTAGCGGCGTCGTGCCTGCCAACCCTAGAGGTTGTTGGGGCCGTACTCTGCAACGACCACCTTTGCCCGACAACTCATCTCTGACAAATAACGGCTAGCCACTCTAAGTCGTTATTTGATAGCAGATCGTCGCAGCAGAGATTTGGAGGCGGTTACACCTGACAAGTCAGAATACCAGTATATAAAGACCCTGACCCCTAGGGGCGAGGGTATTGCGTGATCATCACTCTTAGCCCTTTCATTTCTCTACACTCTCTCTCTCTTGTGCTCTCCCAGTTTACTAACTTGATCGTCGGAGTGTTCCCGCTGGGTGAACCCCCCAGGATCCTTCATCTTCTTCCTCTCAGGTGCCTCTCGTCCGACGCCAACTAGGAGCAGAGCCACTTCCAGCTAGGAGTCACCAGATCGCACACCATCAATTGGTGCCGTCTGTGGGAAATACGCTTCAAAAAGCCTTCTTCCACCAAATCTTCCAACTTCAGATTCCACGGCTTCTTCCAACAATGCCGGATGCAGTGCGGACATGAATGCCTTCGGGGAGCAACCTCATATCCCAACGATGTGCATTGGACAGTTCACCCTATCACTCTCCGTGGATGGAGTTCCTACTTTTAACGTGCTCCAGATCATGGCACCTGTGAATGCTCCACTCCCTTCCACGGTAGGAGCAACATTCACCGAACCATCTGTTGTTCCCCTAGTGACCAAACAAAACCAACTTGAAGACCTGGTATACTGCATGCGAGCTATGCAAGCTCAAATGCAACAGGTCCAACAATTCCAACTGTATCAGCAGTAAGTGCTACACCAGGTTTATCAGCATCAGTACCAACAGTAGTTTCCACCGCTGCCTCAGAACCAGCAGCCGGTTCTACCCTAGTATCCGGTCACACAACAAGTTAAGCCTCGCCGTCAAAATGAACACCCCCTTCGCCGGGGAGAGACCTCCCGAATCCAGAACCCTCTTGGGAGTCGGGTCTCGTCCCATGGAAGAAAAGAGAGACAGGCTACTCCCCCACCTCGCAGCATGTGAACAGATCAAGGGATTCTCAGCCCGCCAGACCCACCTCACCTCGGCTTTCAGAGTTTGAGATCTCGCTCGTAAAAAATTGGTTCGAGGTCCTGGCAGCAGACCATAGCCATCACCAATAGTCCGAGCCACTCCCCGCGAGAGCTGTGCCTAACAACACCGAGGCCAGCAGTACCAATGCGGAGCCAACCAAGAAGCAGCGGAGACGCCGCAGAGCTCGCCGAGCAACAGCCCAGAACCTGCCCAAACTCCCCAAAGAGGAAGCGAGCTCGAGGGCAGTAAAAGCCACTCCACTCCTCTCTGTGCTATCCCCCTTGTCTCCCGAGCTCCTGGCCGTCCCAATGCCAAAAGACTTCAAGGTACCCCCTCTGGACAAATATGACGGATCATTCGATCCGAATGATCATGTAGATTCTTTTCAGTCACAGATGCACTTAGCCGGAGCAGGTGAGTCTTGCATGTGCGTAGCCTTCTCTACTACATTTAAGGGGGTAGCTCGCACGTGGTATAGAAACCTTGTGCCTGGGACAATCAAGAATTGGGCGCAGTTCGTGCAAATCTTCACCTCTCACTTCATCACCAGCAAGAGGTGTCCGAGGTCCCAAGAAAGCCTTCTCGGCATAGTCCAGAGGGAGGGGGAATCTATCCGCAGCTACATCAAGAGGTTCAATGATGCATGTCTGCAAATACCTGATTTATACCTCGTAGTGAGGCTTACAGCAGCCAAAAGAGGCATAGCGCACAAAGAGTTCAAGTGGCATGTGGTTGCCAACAAGCCCAAGGACGTAACCGAATTCCTCAAGCTCGCGGACTAGTTCATTAGAACAGAGGAGGAGATGAACCAGAAGAATGAGAACCCACCGGAGAAGAGGAAAAGAGAAGGTGAGACCTCGACCAACGGGGACAGCAAGAGGAAGAAAGAACCAGTTCGGGGAGGAAAGCCTGACCAGTCTTTCTGAGATCCTCTAGCTGAAAGGACGAACTACACGCCCTTAAACACAAAGCGAGCAGAAATCCTCATGGCGATCAAAGACGTGTCTTATGTGAAGTGGCCACCTTGGATGAAAGGATACCCGAATACAAGAAATAAAAATTAGTATTTCCATTTTCCTAGAGATCACAGTCATAGCACCAAAAATTGTAAAAACCTCCGCGATGAGATAGAAGAACTCATACGTCGCAAGTATTTAAGAAATTTTGTACAAAGAGATAATAAAACAGGACG